CCCGCGGGTCGGGACAATGGGAGTGGCCACAAAGCATGCAGGTCTTCGTGTTAACGTTTATGCTCACCAAAGAGCATCCACTGCAGGAGGAGCCGCTCAGCCAGATGGTCAGATGTCTCATCCTGTGGATGTCAGCCAGCCTTTAAACTTAGCCACTCTATCGTTTTGCAAAAGACCCATAAAACAGTGGCTATGAAACTAAACAAAGAACTTACTAGTATATGCATATATGCATAGCCCATGGACAAACAATAGTGCCATAGTGCAGAGAAGGCCTGGGATGGAGCCTGGAGTGGTGTGGAGGGGTGGGTGTGTGTGTGGGGTGGGGATTGGGGGCATTTGTAATACTTTGAACAATAAAGGTAAAAAAAAAGAAAGGAACTGCTTTATGACCCAGAGATTGGACTTCTGGAAATATATCTGAAGAAACCCGAATCACCAATCAGAAAGAATGTATGTTCCCTGATGTTTACTGCAGCGATATCTACAATAGCAAAGATTCGGAAGCAGCCCAAATGCGCATCAGTAGATGAGTAGATTGAAATATGGTAGCACTCATACTTGGGTAAAAACTGCTGTTTGAATTTTAACCTTGCTATCTGATTTCTACCTTCGATTGCTTGCTTAAACAATAGGGTAATTACAGGAGATTGACTCCCACTGACTCAGTAGCTTCAGGGGTAGAAACTGTAGATAACCTTTAGTTCTGCTTTTGTATTATGGGCAAGATAGGGCCACATCCAATGTCAAGCAGATGTGACTGGGAACCAACCCTGCAGGCTGTCCCCAGTCTTTAGAATTTAGTCCTGAGGGGCCAATCAGGGTTAGCCGAGGCAGTGACATCACCTACCTGAATAAAACTCCTGGACTGGGCGATATTCGCTCTCTTCCGCCATGCTGCCAGCATGAGTGGGATAGCCTATGCTAGCATAGAGATGGCTCTTTTGTTTATTACATCGGACTCGGCTCCCTGGTGGTCCTTGGGGATCATGACTGGAATCCCCAGCCAGGACCATGAGGGACCCCCATTCCGAAGAGCCTGACTGGCCGCGGTAGGTTTGTGTTTGTCTGTGTTTTTGTGTGAGCGCTCTGGAGGGACTGCCCCTCCATCAGGGCTCTTACCTGGGTGTTTACCAGCTGTTGCGTCAGCCATGGTTTGAGTCCGGATTCGAATCTGTAATAAACTCTAGCATGCTTAATCAAATTGGCTCCGGTGGTCCATCTCTTGGGGACTCGCTTCGTAACATAGATTAAAAAAAAAAAAATTGTGGCCGAAACTGGTTTGGCTCAGTGGATAGAGCGTTGGCCTGCGGACTGAAGGGTCCCTGGTTCGATTCCAGTCAAAGGCATGTGCCTTGGTTGCAGGCACATCCCTGGTGGGGTGTGTGCAGGGGGCAGCTGGTTGATGATTCTCTCTTGTCAATGTTTCTAGCTCTCTGTCCCTCTCTCTTCCTCTCTGTAAAAAGTCAATAAGATATATTTTTTTAAAAATTGTGATACACTTTTTGAAATACTACCTGGCCGTAAAAAAAGAAGGGAATCTTAGCCTTTGCAACAGCATGGATCAACCTGAAGAGTATTATGCTAATGAAATAAGCCAGTCAGAGAAAGACAAATACAATATGATTTCACTTACATGTGGAATCTAATGAACAAAATAAATTAACAAAACAGAAACAGATTCATAGATACAGATAACAGACTGACAGCTGTCTAGGGGAGCTGATTTGGGGGGCTGAGTGAAAAAGGTGAAGAGATAAAGCAAAACAAAAGTCATACAGACAACAGTATGGTGATGACCAGAGGGAAAGTGGGGCTGGGAGAGGTAGGAGGGTAAAGGTGGGATAAATGAAGCGGTGGACACAAAATACAAAGATGATGTATTATAGACTTGTACACCTGAAACCTATGTAATTTAATTAACCATTGTCATCCCAATAAAACCTTTTCTTTTTTTAAAAAGTGGCTATGGTGGTAAGAATCCAACAACTTGGGCTCTCTCTCACCAAGGCTGATCTAATAATTGCCAACAAATAGCTAACCAACTAGCAGCAGGCAGTAGTTTAGCAACATTGGTCAGGGAGAGCAACTATATTCATGACAGGTTATTTATTTACGTAGCTATTTATTTTTATTTTTATTTTTATTTTTAAAAATATATTTTATTGATTTTTTTACAGAGAGGAAGGGAGAGGAATAGAGAGTCAGAAACATCAATGAGAGAGAAACATCAATCAGCTGCCTCCTGCACACCCCCTACTGGGGATGTGCACGCAACCAAGGTACATGCCCTTGACAGGAATTGAACCTGGGACCTTTCAGTCTGCAGGCCGACACTCTATCCACTGAGCCAAACCAGTTTAAGCTACTTATTTTTAAAATATATTTTTATTTTAGAGAGGAAGGGAGGAAGTGGGGGGGAGGAGAGAGAAATATCAATGAGGAGAGAGCAACATTGATCAGCTGCCTCCTACTGGGGATTGAGCCCGTAAACCAACCCAGCATGTGCTCTGACCAGGAATTGAGTCAGGACCTTCTGGGCTCATGGCAGGCATTTGTATCAGCTCTCTTCCACATTGGAGAAGGCAATGACTCATCCTCATTAGAACTTACATTTCTCACCCATAGTGCTCCTGCAGGCATCACCATGCAAAGGCTCAAAGGCTTAAAGAACATTCAATCCATTACCTATGGCCAGAGCACCCATTTTATGGCAAAGGAGATTAAAGCTTGTGGAAAAGTCATTCTATACCATCGTTCTCTCAAGCTGGCAGCTGCCGGGTATATGGTGAAACCAGGGAAGCCCACATTTTTAACCATTCTAGGTTACTCAACATTCCAGATTAGCCAGCTTGAGAGAACAATGGTATAGAATGACTTCATTTCCACAAGCTTTAATCTCCTTCGCAAAACAAGGGTTGTAAACAGTATGCTGCAGAGGAGAGAACACGCAGCCAGGAGGAGGGGGCATGAGGGAAGATGAGAACACGAGGCGCACAGAGACTGGTGACTTGCTGAAGACCACACAACAAATAAACGACAGACTCGGGACTGGAACTTCCCCACAAGATGGAAACGGATACCGAAAATGTGTTTGGAAATTGCCTTGCTCAGCACTTGGTAGAGGTGGCAAAGGTTCAGCCAAGTGACCCCATAGGACCTGGCTCACTGGCTTATCATTACAGGAAAATCACGAAAGCAAAAGAAGAACCATTGATATCTGTAGCCGGTTCCACAAAGAAGACCTGCATCCGTGCAGAAGGACACAAAACCCCTTGAAGAGGAGGCCTTGAAATGCCTGCCAGGTATGCCTCAACAGAGTCCTCCTTCCGACTCATCTGGCCAGGCTGAAGGGAATGTCAGAACTCCACAAGAAAGAAATAACTTTCAGCAGTTCAAGTGCTCCTGAAATGCATCCTGGCTCCAAATCTCCTTCTTAAGTTATCCCAGGGGTCTGCAACCTTTAAGACAGTGTTTCCCAACCTTCTCTCATGATGAGAATCACCTGGGGGAATTGTTAAACCACAGATTCCTGAATCCCAACTAAGAAGTGCTAAACTAGAATTTTTGGGAACATATAGGTAAAATTGTATACTTAACTAGTGCTCTAAGACAGATTTTATATACAGAGCACTAAGTTAGGTATGCAATTTTACCTATATGTTCTCAAAAATTCTAGTTTAGCACTTCTTAGTTGGGATTCAGGAATCTGTGGTTTAACAACTCCACCAGGTGATTCTCATCATGAGAGAAGGTTGGGAAACACTGCTTTAAGACATATAGAGCCACTTGGACCCGTTTCCGAAGGAAAAAACTGGGAGCCGCAAAACCATTGCGACATTTAAAACAAATATAACACTGCACATATTGTTTCTTACCTTAATGCTATATACCGGATCGTGCAGTTAGCTGTCAATCTGAAGAAAAAAAGGACTTTTTCACTTAACAATGTAAAATATATTTTTGCAAATTAATAGCTAATTAAAATATTTAATTTACCTGGTTAATGGGATTTTTGCTCCTGAACCTCAGTGCACAGTGTCTGCACATCAGGGCTGTAGACGTTACCTTCATTTTCACACGGGCTTGCCAGTTGTCGGAGCCGCGGTAAAGCTTCAAGAGAGCTGCATGCGGCTCTGGAGCTGTAGGTTGCCGACACCTGAGTTATCAGAAGGTGAATGATTCTCATGATGCCTCTTTCAAAGCTGCAAGCCAAGAAAACGGCCACCTAGAAGAGCTCGCAGCTAGAGATGCTAACTATGTGGGTTAAACCAAGAAGTGGGGGGGCTGTGGAAGGAGATGTCTGCAGGGATTCTGCAGCCCAAGTCCTGTCCTGGTAGCCATGAAAAATCTTTAATCACGTGAAAATCTGAACTAGTTCTAGGATAAAATAAACTCAGAAATAAGGACTTAAAATAATGTTCAAAAGACAATATATGGTACTTCACGAAACTATTGTGGGATTGGAAAGATCATGTACAGAGAGCACTCTGCACAGGACTTGGCATGCAGCAGGTTCTCAATAAATGGCATTATTATTAACTAGAGGCCCAATGCACGAAATTCATGCAAGAGTAGGCTCTCTTCCCCCATGCTGTCACTGGCTTCCCTCTGCACCAGGGACCCAGGCTTCCTTCTCAGCCCCTTTGTCCGAGAGTTCATCTGGTCTCATTAGCATATTACACTTTTATTATTGTAGATTGGATTGAATTGTGAAGGGCCTCTGGGCCCCAAGAGGAACTACTGGTTGGGCTTCACTAGTCCGGCAGGGCCGTGGATAGCACTGTAGCATGACCTGCTTTGAATACTCTTAGCTGCTCAGAGCCTCCAGCTAGAATCACTGTTTGCTTCCAGCAGAGGGTGTTACTGGCAAGAGGTGGAGAAGAAAAGGAAACTGTTTGCAGAGGGTAGGAAATGGAAACTCGGACCAGGATTGGCTCTCAGGAAAGGAGACTAGAGGGGGGGGATGTAACTGGAATGTGATGATAAGAAGCCAGCCTGCAGCCTGGAAAAGCTGTAGCTGATACCTCCTGCTGCTCCCATCTATCTGCCGGCTCTGGCAGGAAGATTCCTTCTCCTCTCTCCTCCAAGGTAAACCCAGAAACTAAGAGGCATGGATGTCAAGCGGTCACCTTTTGCCAGACTGCCCAGAAAGCCCAGGGCGCCCATTCCTCAGGGAGGCTGAGTCCCTGAGGGGGTTGGGGGGCTTTTAGGTACAAAACTCCAAGAGGCATGAAACTGACCTTAATAGATGCCCTTTCAGCAATCGGTGGCCTTAACTCTGTCACTTAACCTTTTTGAACTTTAGTTCCTCATCTGCAAAAGGATAATCCAGCCACCTTACCGGCCATAGGACTGGGTGATTTCAGAAACCCCTTTGTTGTAGAATCTACGGTGACGGTGAGTTTATCTTGCATGATAAGGGTGATCTGGAATGGTTAAAAATTTGGGTTTGGACTGAGAGGTTTGCGATGCAGGAAACAAAACACAGAGTCCAGGCGATTAAAAGGGGGGAGGCTTTAATTTTGCACTCTGTCCCGGGCGGAATTGGCTGGTCCCAGGGTGGGCCAGCCAAAGGGGGCACAGGTACTTCTGTTATACAGCTGTTTAGTGAGGGGAGGGGAGAGGGCACGAGAGGGGTGGAATTCCTGCCTCGGGCCAGGGGTCTAGGAAGGCGCCAGCTATCTCTGTCACCATCCACCTTGCAGATGCTTGCATGGGCTCTGGACTTGCCCCTGCCTGCACCTGACATGGACATCAGTCATTTTGGGATTCTCCCACTCCCTGCTGTGCAGGCGTGGGAATAGTAAATTCTCTGAGTTTCAGTTTCCTTATCTATAGCACATGGTTGAGAGCAAGGTGTCTACTTCATGTGGTGGTTATGGGTATAAATGACCTTGTGCCATAAAGTGCTGAGTAAGTGCCCAATACAAGAGGGTTGGGGGAAGGATTGTTTGTTTATTTGTTTAAATATGTTTTTTATTGACTTCAGAGAGAGGAAGGGAAAAGGAGGGAGAGAGAGAAACATCAATGATGAGAGAGAATCATTGATATCGAGCCCGAAACCCAACCATGTGCTTTGACCAGGAATCCAGTCATGACCTCCTGGTTCATGAGCTAATGCTCAACCACTGAACCACACCAGCTGGGTGATGATTATTTGCTTTTATTTCAAGAAAATTGCATTGAACTCACAAAAATCACATGGGAGGTGAATTTGGGAGCACGTATATGTATAATGAACATAGGTTTTGAATTCCGATAGTCGTGGATGTGTGTCTAGATTGCGTAGTTTGGCTGCGTCCTTAACCCTCTGCTTTCTTCCTGAAAAATGGAGCTGGTGAGAGGACAGTGTTTGCTGCCTATGACTGTACAATGCATTGAAAGAATAAATTGATCAACAACCATCCCCCCCCCCCCCCCGAAAAGTCTGTGTGACAGGTAATGTTCTAAGTGCTAGGGAATAGCGGTGGATAGTTTCAAAACTCACAGCCACCCCCTAAAACAGGCTCTATTAACAACCCACCTTAGGGATAAGTAAATGGAGACCCAGAGAAGGTGCCTGAGGTCATGCAGGCAGTGTAGACAAAGTCAAGAACAGAAAACAGTGATGACATTGCTGACATCACTGAGCATGCGCCATGTGCCAGGCACCTCACCAGAAGAGGATTCTGATAGACCCTCCCTTCCCCCAACTGATGGACGGAGAATGATGTAAACGCCACCTGCAGCCCGGACATTCCTGAGCACCTGACCAGGCACCTTACATGGACTGTTCATGGAACCCCCAATCAGCACCTGCCCAATACCCTAAGCCCCCCGATTCCTAAGTCCCTAGGTCCTTAATCATGTGCCTTATAGGAAACCACCAATCAGTGTGGTACCCTAAACGCTAAACCCTTTCCCTTTCCTCCCCTCAAAAGGCGCCTTCACCCCGGCCATGTGCTCTCTCTCCCTTTGGGAGGCAGCCCGGCCGGGTCTTATCCTCTGATAAAGCCTGTGTCCTGGTCTCCGGCCTCTGCCTCCTCTTTCAGATTCCCTCACTGGTTCTCAGGACCCCGGGGTGAGGCAGGAGCGTCACTGCCGTCGTTGCCACGAAGAAACGGAGATCCCGCAGCTCCTCGGTCCCTGGGCCCAGTCCAGATCAATGCGCTGCTTTTTAGGGGCTCTTCCTCCAATGGGAAAGGAAGATCGCCTCAGGGTTTGGCTCACTAGCGGCTCTGGGTCATCTCTTCCCTCTCCCCCTCCCCAGGCCCTGGGCGACAAAGCCTGCGCACACCGCCACCATGCGGCAGAAGGCGGTATCGCTCCTGCTGTGCTATCTGCTGCTCTCGGCCTGCGGGCAGGTGGAGGCAGGTGAGGCCCCGGCGGGCGAGGCAGGGTCTTGGGAGAAAGAAGCGGAAAGTTTCAGGATCCTTGGTTTAGACTCTTTGCAGTGTTTCCCAAACTTTTGACATACGTGTACCCCTTCTATAATTTCCGTAACGCTGAGTACCCCTCGTACTCATGAGAACGTAGAATTAGGCGCAGCTAAGCACGGTGCAGGGCATATTCCCACCAAACTCCGGAGCAACGCGTACCCCCACCACACTCTTCCCGTGCCCCTGGGCGTGCGCGTACCACACTCTGGGAAACACTGGTTTAGAGGTTCAGGCGTGCCTGGGAAGGAGAGGAGCTATTACAATGGACAGCGCAGGCTTGTCGTAGCCAGAGGCCCAGGTTCGAATCCCTGATCTGTGCATCCCTCCATTCCAACATTTATTCAGCGCCAGTGATGCGCCAGGCACGACGCCTTAGGAAGAGTCTCTCCCCTTTAGTAAGGTTTTCCGAAATAGGAGGACGGTGGTCCCCAGCTCTGGGGGTGCTCCTGGGCATCAGACACAGGGTAGGGGACGCTGCCTGCCCTTTGTCCACTCCCCCCACAGGCCAAAGGAGAGACTCGGAGGACAGCGACTCGGGCTCCGGAGGGTGGGGCGCGCTGACCTACATGGCCATCGGAGGAGGTGGGTCTGGCAGGCGGGAGCTTGGCCAGGTGGGCCGGCCCCAGCCCCGGGGCGACCCTCACCGCCTCCTCTCCCTCCAGGAGCCCTGGCCCTGGGGCTGCCCGCGCTGGGCTTCACGGGCGCCGGCATCGTTGGCGGCTCGGTGGCCGCCAAGCTGATGAGCTGGTCGGCCATCGCGCACGGGGGCGGCGTGCCCGCTGGAGGGCTGGTGGCCACGATGCAGAGCTTGGGTGAGTCGGGGGCCAGGCCCGGGAGCAGACACTGGGACCACCGGTTGTCTTTCTACTTACTATTCTGAGTCCTTCCCACAGGCCAGCTCAGCTCTCCGAAGTGCATGTTCCTGCGAACCCCATCGTACCGGGGGTGCATTCAGTCACTGACACACACACACACACACACACACACACAACCCGGCTTGTGTGGGAGCCAGGATTCCAACCCAGACAGTCTGATGGCTTGCTTTCACAACAAGCCTCAGCTTTCCTCATCTGCTAACCAGGATAATCTCCCTCAGTTTGACATCCTATGAATCTGCTCATTCTCAAACACCCAGAGTGGAACAGCGCACTTCCATCTCATGCCAGTTCTGGTCTTGACTTGAGTTTCTCGAACACGGGGAGGGGGATTGATGCAGATCTCTGAATGATCCTTCTAAAAATTTTGCATTCATGTCCATCTCTGTGCATCTCTCTCTCTCTTCTCCCCCTCCCTCTCGCCTTCACCCTTTTCTTTTTCTTGTTCTCTCTCTCTCCCTCTCCCTCTCTCCATCTTTTTCTTATTCTCTCTCTCTCTCTCTTTTTCCCCCTCCCCCCACTTCAAGTTCCTAGAGAAAAAGCACTCCTGACAAACCCTGCCTTTCTGAGCCTCCATCTTCTCTCAGTTCTGGATGACAGAGCCCAGAGGAGCGGCCCTCTCAGGAGGCAGAGGGAGCACAGGCCAGGCCGTACCCCACATGTGTCAAACACAAGGCCCGCGGGCCAAATCCGTCCCGCCAGGCCTTGCAATGTGGCCCGCACCGCGCTGTCATCACTGCACTCTGCTGCGTTTCTATCACAATGACAGTTTATGACTGTTCAGTAAACCATTCTGCCCGCGATTTAGGCTGGATTTTAGATTTTGGCCCCTTCTCTGATTGAGTTCGACACCCCTACGCGTACCCCAACAGAGGGGAGCCAGGGGCTTGGGCAGGAGAGCAGCAGGCTGGTGTCGTAGGATGGTTGTCCTCTCTTACTTACGGGCCCTCCAGCACCCACAGAGAGGTCTCCGCCCAGGCGGCTGCCATCCGCATTGTTAACAACACAGAGGGCGTGAAGAGAAGGAGTTGTTATTTTGACTGTTGTGTCTCTGAAACAGCTCTGATTGGGGCGGTGCGTTGGGAGGAGGGGGAAATGATACTCACTTTGCAGAAGCCCCCTCCCCTCGCAGGGCCACCGAGTCTCCATCTGAGGACGAGGAGGTTGGCCTTGCCCACCGGTTCCAGACTTGTGGACCTGCAGGCCTGGTGCCTGGGCTGCGAGTGACCTGGCTGTGCTTGTTCTCCAGGGGCTACTGGCGGCAGTGCCCTCATGGCCAAGGTCGGTGCCTTTATAGGCTACATTGTCCACGGGCAGATGGACAGCAAGGGGGAAAAGGAGGAAGAGGAGTGAACAGCTTCCGGGACACCCGCCCCCCGCCCTGCTGCTTCCAGCTGAAGTCCAGAGCTTCCTCTGTGACACTCGTCCGTGACCGAGGCGAAAAAGAGAATAAATGTCTCTCAGAAAACACTTCATCTTGTGAGTCATTCTTCCCGTGAGAAGCCCCAACAAGATCCGGGTCTGGCCTGCCTCATCCACACACCCCCGTCCTCACTTCTCCCGAAAGCCAGCCGCGGCCCTGAAACACAGCCAGCTGGTTCTGTCCCTGGGCCTCGGCGTGTGCTGTCCTTTCTGCTAGAACGTCCTTCTGAAGCTCAAAGCCCAGCTCGGACATCCCCACGCCGAGGCTCCTCCCCAGAGAGCCTCCCGCCGCCTCGTCACACTGAGTGCTCAGGCTGGGGTCACAGGGGCCCGGGAGGCAGAGCTCGGCTTAGTCTCAGTGAGAGAAGCTTCCAGAAATGTAGAAACCAGATCTCCGCTCTCTGGAGAAGCACCAGAGTGGTCTGCCTCTGGTGGAGAGCAGAGGGCCAGACGTTTGCGTTGGAGGGAGGGAGTGAGCGGCAGCTTTTGGAGGGCTCAGAGCCTGGGATGGGCGAGCAGCTGGCATCTGGAGCACGTGCCTCTGAGTGGGCAGGGAAGGCCACCCCAAGGCCTCACGGAGATTTGAAGTTTGGGCGGCCTGTCCAGACGAGGCAGCGTGCAAGGACCCAGGCAGGGGGAGGGCAAAGAGACCTAGAAATCCAGCGTCAGTCATGGCAGGGCTGGTTCCGTCACTAACGGAAGGAGAACAATGCTGTGGTTCTGGCCTCTGAGTGGTCACCAGCCTCAACCCCAGCCCACCCTCCGGGGAGCTCTGTGCCCCTGGGAAGTAGCCACAGAGGAATCACAACACCTGGTGACTCAGAAGGGCCGAGCCAGCTGTCCTCATTTATAACCCAGAGGTTCTTCCACTAAAATGTTTGGACGGGTGGGGAGGAGGCCCATCCTGCTTCCTCCTGTCCCCAGGTCCGGTGCCTCCCCGGCAGAAGGTTTTCACAGCTGGAGAAGCACTGTCTGTGGAGGAGCTGCCGAGGTGGGGCAGGCACCCTCTTGCACCTCAAACACTGTCTCCATGGCTTGTCTCCAAAAGCGGAAGCTGGGCTGAGTCCCGGACCCCGGAGGGAGGGACCGCCTCAAGCATCACAGGGCGCTGAGGCCTATTGTACCCGAGTTTGTCTGCAGAGATGACACCCAGGGACAGCCCCTGCAGGGCGGGCATGGTAGCTAAGTTATCTTTTTTCCCTCGTGCCCAGAGTAGACCTGGCATACAGTTGGTGCTCAATATATGTGGGCAGAATTGAACCTCCACTTCCATCTACCTGTCCCTCTCCCTTCCCCAGTCTTCATGGGAAGGAGTGACTGGAATTCTTGTTCTTCCCTCGGGGTTCCCTCGATAATACCCACTGTCCCCCCCAGGCAGGCCTAGGAGAGGCGCTCTGCGCCCCTTCACCACGATGGTCCGAGTGAACACAGGCCCCTGGCCCGTCACTCGGTCTTCTCCAGCGCAGATGGAGGAGGAGGCAGGAGCCCAGCAGCCAGGAGCGTTCCCTGGAGTCCTGCGGACCGCGGCTCAGTCCCTGCCCTGTGCCCTCGCGCAAGTGTCTCCTCCTCCCCGAGACTCAGTTTCCTCCTCTGTAAACTCTAACACCTCCCTCGCGGGGATTTTGTGATGAAATTAAACGAACGAGTGAACAAAGAGAGTCTAGCATGGTGCCTGGCCCAGAGTGAGCACTCGGTGAATGTCCGTGATTATTACGATTAGGACGTGCATAAAGCAGAGGGGACATAGCCAAATGCCTGCTAGGAATTAAGCATTTAACTTTGGAGTCAGGATTTATTCTCTGGGGCTCACAGACTCTGCTCTGCCTTTCTCCCAAGGGTGAGTATCCTCCGCTTATTCCCTTGGCATCTTATTCCCTTGAATAGCACCAAGGCTAAAGAAAGATGGACAACTTTGCCCCCGATTTTATTTTATTTATTTAAAAAAATATTTTATTGGGGGAGGGAATTGGTAAGATAGGTACACATATAATACCTTAATAAAAATGAAAAATTAAAAATTAAAATTAAAAATTAAATAAAATATATTTTATTTATTTATTTATTTATTTAATTTATTTTAAAAAATATATTTTAAGCTAGGATTTGGAAACAGTCTAGGTGCCCATCAGCAGATGATTGGATAAAAAAACTATGGTACATCTACACAATGGAATACTATGCTGCCATAAAAAAGAAGGAATTCTCATCATTTGCAGCAACCTGGATGGAATTGGAGAACATCATGCTGAGTGAAATAAGTCAGTCAATGAAAGAGAAACACCACATGACCTCACTCATTTATGGATAATAAAGAACATTATAAACTGATGAACCAAAAGATAGATATAGAGACAGTAAAGCAACAAGTAGACTGTCAAATTACAGCGGGGAGGGGAGGGAGATCTGGGGGAGATAATAGATCAACCAAAGGACTTGTATACATGCATATAAGTACAACCAATGGACACAAAACTCTGGGGAGGGAGGGCATGTATGGGAAGGGGGGGCAATGGTAAATATGTACACAGATAATAATTTAATTTTTAAAAAGGTATATATATATTTTTTTTTATTGATTTTTTACAGAGAGGAAGGGAGAGAGATAGAGAGCCACATCGATGAGAGAGAAACATTGATCAGCTACTTCCTGCACGCCCCCTACTGGGGATGTGCCCGCAACCAAGGTACATGCCCTTGACCGGAATTGAACCTGGGACCCTTGAGTCCACAGGCCGACGCTCTATCCACTGAGCCACCCCAGGTAGGTCTGACCCCGATTTTAGATCTGAGGCCTCAGCAGGTCTCAGGCTGAATGACATTGAAATGACCCACCATTATGGGTGGATTCCACCTGCTCCAGGGTCTCTTTGGGCCCGTGCAGGGTGACTACTTGCCTTCATTCTTCAGACATTTTCTGGGCACTCAGTCTGTGCCAGGCACTGTGCCAAATGCGAGGACACTACAGTGGTAGAGACCCAGTTCCTACCTATGTGGAGCCCACAGTGCACACACTGAGAGTCCTCAAAAGCATCAATGACCACCCTTCTCTCTCTCTGTCACCACCTCCTCTTCCCCATCTCCCTTCACCTGCCAGGCCCTTGTCAGCCTTCACAGCCACAACCACCATGTCTACAAAGTAGGAGGCAGAATGACGGACACGACCAGAATTCACTAATGCATCAGGTCAGGAGATGCCAATGCACTTTAGACTCCTCCTTGGCAATGGCCTTCGGAAAGACACACAGCGAGTCTGGGCCCAGCTCCAGGGCGGGTGCCTCAGGCAGGTTCCTTACCCTCCCTGAGTCCCAGCCTCTTCCTTGTTTTTCCAAACCAGTGGGGTTGGATATTATTTTCTCCAGGACACTTCCTCCTCTAAAACTGCTGAGCCCGAAGCACATCCTTCTGAATCCCCCTGACCTTGTCAGGCCCCAGCCCCCGGAGAGCAGATTTTATTTTTGAAGCTGACAAAAGCAATCTGCTTGCCAGCTTTGGTACTAAGGTGGGTGATGGTGCTGAGAGATGCCATGTTTGGTCACAAATGAGGGTGACTGGAAACTAGCAGGGCTGTTCCTCGCGCTGGGACCACACCCGAAGACAAGTCTGAAAATAGATCCATCTGCGTGTCTGACTTGATAGAAAGCAATGCCGAGATCCTCTGTCCTCATCTCTCCTCGCTGGACCCCTATGTCCTCGGCCAGCAATTTTCAAACTGTGCCATGGCACACTGAGGTCTTGCAAGAATTTTTAAGACATTCAAAACCCGACTACTAAGTCAGGGGTACTGACCTTTTATCCTTCAGATTGTCAAATTTAAAAAACAACAAAGGCCAACAGCCAACACGCCAATAACCGTCTGGTGTGATTGATTCAAAATTATACCTAATTTTTGTCAGATCGGCACAAAATATATATATTTCAGCAAAAAATATAATATATTTTTGGTGTGCCGCTTTATGTGTGCCATGACCTAGAATGCCTTTCTTGAGTGCTCAAGTTAGAGCTGTCATGCTCTTTTTAAAAATATTTTTTTTTTACTAGAGGCCTGGTGCATGAAATTCATGCATGGGCGGATAGGGGTGTCCCTCAGCCAGGCCTGCACCCTCTCCAATCTGGGACCCTTTAGGGGATGTCCACCTGCCAGTTTAGGCCCGATCCCTAAACTGGCTTACAATCTGGGATTGCTGGCTCCTAACTGCTTCCCTGCCTGCCTGCCTGCCTGATCACCCCTAACTGCCTCTGCCTGCTGGCCTGACTGACCCCAACTGCCCTCCCCTGCTGGCCTGACCGCTCCCTAACTGCCATTGCCTGCCAGCCTTTTCGCTCCCTGACTGCTCTCCCCTGCCTGCCTGATCACCCCCTAACTGCTTGCTCCCCTGCCTGCCTGATCACCCCTAACCGCCTCTGCCTTGGCCCCTGCCACGGTGGCTTTGTCTGGAAGGAAGCTGGACGTTCAAAAGATGTTGGGAAGACCCAGTCTAATTAGCATATTACCCTTTTATTAGTATAGATTGATGTTAGAGAGAGGAAGGGAGGAGGATAAAGGACAGAAATACTGGCAGGCTGCCTCCTACGTGTCCCCCCTGGGGATGGAGCCCATAGGGCAGCCAAATGCCCTGACCCTGGCATGAACAGAACCGACAACTGAGCCAACTGCGACATCCTGGTTCACAGGACTATGCTCAAACACCGAGCCACGCCCACCGGCTTTTTATTTATTATTATTATTATTTAAAAATATATATATTTTATTGATTTTTACAGAGAGGAGGAGAGAGGGATAGAGAGCTAGAAACGTCGATGAGAGAGAAACATCGACCAGCTGCCTCTTGCACACCCCCTACCGGGGAAGTGCCCGTAACCAACGTACATGCCCCTGACCGGAATCGAACCCGGGACCTTTCAGTCCGCAGACCGGTGCTCTACCACTGAGCCAAACCGGCTTTGGCTATTTATTTTTTTTAATCCTCACCCGAGGACAAACTCCAGAGAGGGGAAGGGAGGAGGGAGGAAGAAGGGTGAGACGAGAGAGATCCATGTGAGAGAGAACA